GTGAAAAAATTTTAAATAATTAATGCTACACTTTTTTAATATAATTATCTATTATTATACCCTTACATTACTTATTTTCTCAAAATTTTATTTTATCTTTTTCTGCTTTTTAATAATTAAAAAATATAATAATTCACTAAAATAAAAAAATATAATATTAATAATTAAAAATATCATAATAACATTACCATTTTCTTTTATTATATAATACCTATCTACCATATAAAAAAAATCAATTAACTTTCTATTAAAGATAAATTCGAGGAAGTTATGCTGCATCACTATAAAATGCTCCGCGTAGCTTTTTCCCTAATCCATTAATCCTCCCTCCGGGTTAGTGTTAATTGAAAACGTCTTTGTTTAAGGAAGCCAGCAGCAATTCCAAGGAGCACACAACCAGAGCAAAAACAAAACCGCCCGCCGGCCGCGTCACCGTGTTCGCTCTCCGCAGCCGCAGCCACCGAGAGAGCCGGATGAGAAGAGAGTTCTTCACCTCCGCGATCGCTTCTCTGTAATGGCTCTCGGCCATTGTTGTCATTATGTTCTTGTTGCTCAGTTTTAAAATAGGGAGTCGTCGTTTTCGTAAGATGCAGAGACGGCGGCGGAAGGTGGTGGTGACGATAAGGGAGGCCCTAACGTACGCCACATGCGTAATAGCTCTGGCAGGGCTGCTCTCCGGGCACCTTTACGTGTTCCGTTCCTCGACAGTTCCAGAATTCCCTGATTCTTACAAGCTCCCCACCGTCACTCAAGTATCTCCTCTTTTAATTCCTCTCTTCCATTTTTTTTAGTTTTATCTAGATGCTTCTGCAATTTTCCACTGCTCGATTCGATTCAGTTTTCGTACAGTAAAAATTCCGCTGATTTCTTTTCCAAATCTACTTGCTAGATAATGATTTGCACTTTCTTTTCTTATATGCAGGTTAAAAATTGCTTTTGTGATTAATTCGATTTTTTCCTTTCGCATTTAAGATTAGGATGTGATGCTAATATGGAAACCTGATTTTTCTATTGTGTTTAAAATTTGTCTATGCTGAGATTTTGTAATTTTTTTCTTTTTTTTTTCTTGAAATTTCTGGTGGCAGCATGAAATCAATTACCAAAAGTTAAGAACTGAACGAAGCTGGACTCAGGAACTGGCTCCACCACAGTTATCGAAAGAGCAGATTCTGGCGCATGTATCAAAAGCTCCGGTTTTGTCTAGCAAGGTTTTCTGTTTCTCTCAATGTCTTTTTTTTAAAATAATAATAATAATAATAATAATTTGCTCAAGCAATCTGTTTGGTTGTTGGGAAAATCTATGAATAAGAAAGCAAAAGAAACTGACTTTTTTCTATTTGATCATGCTCCTCTGGTCCTGTTGAATTGTAGTCAATTTCATTTGGTAAGAATTAATGCTTTTTCGTGTTTCTAAGGTTAAAGTGGAGGATTGATTTTCTCTATTCTCTTTTCCTTCTCTTAGACATTTTAAGTTAAATATATTTGTAGTCAAATTGGGTTCAACTGGTTGCTCAGTATGCTTGTTACTTCCTAACTTGTTATGCATTCTAATTGGAGCCAACAAAGATAGGTGTATGTATTCATGCAAAGTAGTCATGCATCTTTCATGTTTTCACTCCTTTAGATTTGACAGTTGGATGGTGAGAGGAGAAATCCAGATTATGACAAGCTGTGGAAACCTCCTACAAGTCGCGGTTTTGTTCCCTGTGTGGTGCCTTCTCCCAATTATACAGGTTAGGAAGTTTAGTTTGGTTATAGTATTGCATCTTTATATTCTAGTGTAGTGTGTACTTACTTGCATCCAATTTACTGTTGTTTGTCCAGCTCCTGGAGAATCTAAAGGTTACCTTGTAGTCAGTACAAATGGCGGACTCAACCAAATGCGAACTGGGGTTTGTCTTTTCTCTTCCTTTTGGAGAAAATGCTTGCTCAATGATCTGTCTATGTGCTGTCTCATTTTTATTCTGAAACATTTGAAACCATGACACATTCAATACCTGATCTTGGAAAATTTGAAAGAGCAAAAATAGAAAGAGAATGAAATTAATCTGACTTCTTCTGATTCATTTTCACCCTTGTCCCTTTATTTTATGTGGTTTCCGTTTTATTGAACTCAGGCTCAAGTGGTTCTTGGGTACTCTGCAAAGTTGTAGGCTTTGGATGGCTAATGTCATACCCTGCTTCGGCCCAAGCCACTGCAAATGAGCTATAGTCTGCTCCTAGATTTGATTACTACATGCCATATGCATGACCCGACCTCAGTTTAGTTTTTTCCTTC